TCTTCCTCCAAAAACTTCCCCAATTCTCCCTCTTTCCTAGCTGCCATCAATACCTCACCATGTCCACCAAATGCTTCACTCCGAACCAAAAACTTTAACTGTGCCTTTACAGTGATATTAATCACTGTCTATTTTATAAGCGTTTATGCATAGTGTATTATCCTCCCTACTAGTTGCTAAGCTCCTGGGGAGACTGGCAGAGGGGCAGAGACAAAAAGAATCGTGCTTCCACTTATCTTTATATTTTCCACCCAATCTATTGCCATGTTGTCTATAGTCACTCTCAAGAAATATGTAATGAATAAATTAATGTATGAGTGAACAAATGATGACCTGAATGATTAAATGAATACATGGACAGTAATACATGGAGAAGAAAAAGTTAAAGATAATTATCTTAGGGAATTTTCTCTAAATATATTTAGGTTAAAACAAAAACTTCCAACAGATGCACAGACCTTCATTCCAGCCAATGAGAGCATGTTGTTCAGTTTATACATCCCAGACTGTACTGGTGTTGTATACAATAGGGCATCATTAAACTGAAAGTAGAAACATTTCATAGGATGAAGTAAAAGAACAAATTTCATCTACAAAGTTATTGATAAGACACAGAAATAAAGGAAAAAACATTACTTCTTTATTAGCTCTTTAAAAGCTAATATTATTACTTCTTTAAAAGCTCTCTGCATAAATACTAACGTTCTGCTTACAGAAACTGAAACCACCCAGAATGTTCTATTAAAATATTATTAAAAAGGCAATTGTGAAAAAAATGTGCTTTCTTTCCAAGTTCTGTAGACAGATTTAATGGTTTCTGAATGCTAAATCCCACTAAGGCATTATAATCTGCCTAAATAATCGATTGAATCAATTTTTCCAAATTAAAAACGAAATAAACTAAATTCAAAAAGAAAATAATTTTCTGGTTATGCATCTTTGTTTCCTATACTTGAAATGCAAAGGAGCGTACAGTCAGTCACAGATCTCACTAAAACTGCTACTTGAATGTGCTAGTGTACAAATGTCTCCTTTGATTAAGCAATTATGCCTGCCTGGGGACCATCAGGAACACACACAGCCACTTACCAGGAAGAACACTCGGGGCTGCATGTCTTTCCGAGACAGCTTCATCAGAGTTCCTTCTTTGAGAAAAACCTGATTCATCCAAACAAACACCCATTTAGTCCTACCATCATAACACAACAATATACATATAATTTCCTTTTCAACTTTCTTTCCCCAGATTTTTTTCTCTGGGAGCTGGGCGGACATTATTTTCCTTGTGACTTTTTAAAGTCGTGGTTTCTTTCTAAACCCTCTAAGTCATTTAGGAATTGGACAAGGCTGCAGTTTTATAAATCCAATATTGGCCCCAGGGGTACTATGTGGTCTGAAATGTAATTGACCCAGTGTGTACTTTATCCCAAGGCATAGCCAACATCCTGACAATTGCATTTTGTAATTTCCCTGAATTCATTCCCTAGGCCATTTTTGTGCTCTATTAGCAGCAACAAAATACCAATTTTCTCCTTCCCCTCATAATCCTCTCTGACATGAAAGATTTTAATGAAATTGTCTTTAAAGTTGTATGAGGTCAGCTAGTATTACACAATAAAATGATCCTATTCAATCAGAGACTCTGTGGGGTCCCTTGCCATTTTCCTAATTGAATCGGACTTAAGTGACTTAAGTCATGAATGTTTAGATGGGTAGAATGAACTTAGTTGACCCAAACTGGGTCAATGAAGAGTAACAATAACAAATAATCTATTTTCATAACTGAAATGAAAAGTAGTTACAAACTGTGCCTAAAAGCATTAGATTAAATTTGCCTAAGATAGTCTTAAACACTCACCCGTCCAGGCTGCACAATTTCATGGTGTCCATTTAAGCTGTACTGAATTTGCATAAGTTTTTGGAAGTTGTCCTACAGAAAGAGAACGCAGAGCATATGAAGGCCTGGCTCCCAGGTTCAATAGTACACAGCCACTGAAATCAGATACTTACTCCTTGCTTCATGGTGTCATTGGCGTGGTTGGCTACTTCTATAACAACAGCAAGGGCATCTAAAATATGTAGGAACAGAGGGGCATTTGGTCATTACCAATGAATTGCAACATGAAGCAATTCAGGCAATAAGATGGCTAGTTTACAGCAACCAACTGCTACAGGATCTTGGATAACTGAGAATAGGCAAAAGTATGGATGATGAGGGCATGGAACAGGCAAAATAGAGAACTTGAGAGGAAAAAAATGAACCAGAGAGTCTAAAGAAGTGGTTCTCAACCTGTGGGTCGAGACCCCTTTGGGGATCAAATGACCCTTTCACAGGGGTCGCCTAAGACCACCAAAAAACACATATATAATTACATATTGTTTTTGTGATTAATCACTATGCTTTAATTATGTTCAATTTGTAACAATGAAATTTGGGGTCACCACATGAGGAACTGTATTAAAGGGTCGCGGCATTAGGAAGGTTGAGAACCACTGGTCTAAAGAGACATGATATACCGCCCTAGCTGGTTTGGTTCAGTGGATAGAGTGATGGCCTGCAGAGTGAAGGGTCCCAGGTTCAATTCTGGTCAAGGCACATTCCTAGGTTGCAGGCTCAGTCCCCAGTAGGGGGTGTGCAGAAGGCAGCCGATCAATGTTTCTCTCTCATCATTGCTGTTTCTATCTCTCCCTTTCTCTCTGAAATCAATAAAAATATTTTTTGTAAAAAGACAGACATGATATACCATGTGTATTAATGTATGAATGTCATTGTTGTTTTGTGCTGAAACTTGATTATCCTCTTGAAGTTTACAAGGATATAGATAGGATTTCACCTGGAAGCTAAGGACCATTCCAGTGTAGACTGCCTTGGGAGATGAGGGATCCTGGGACAGGAAACCAGAAAGCAATTATGTAAGAGGGTCAGGGCTCAGCTCCCTTCTTTTTTCTTTTTTTAATATATTAATATATTTTTATTGATTTCAGAGAGGGAGGGAGGGAGGGAGGGGGAGAGAGAGAGAGACAGAGAGAGAGAGAGAGAGAGAGAGAGAGAGAGAGAGAGAGAAACTATCAATCATGAGAGAGAATCATTCATTGGCTGCCTCCTGCATGCCCCCTACTGGGGATCGAGCCTGCAACCCGGCCATGTGCCCTTGACTGAATCGAACCCGGGACCCTTCAGTCCGCAGGCCAATGTTCTATCCACTGAACCAAACCGGCTAGGGCTCAGCTGCCTTCTCTTAGTCTGATCCCAAGAGGGGAAAATGTCACATGCAAGCATACTAGACTTCAGGAAATTGCATGCATTACTTTGTTACTTAGCTTCATTTGTATTTCATTCTTTTTATTAACCCCTTGTCGTTAGCAAAGTGACTTTGACTGCTCCAGTCTTATCAGTTTTGCAACTAGCTATAAAAAGAAGTCTGAACTTTATCTCCTTTGGGGCTACAGTTGTTCTCAACCCAAGACAGTAGTGTTCCCCATGGGACATTTGGACATGTGTAAGGACAATTTTTGGTTGTCACATGACTGGGAAGGTCCTCTAGCCTTTAGTGGGTAGGAGCCAGGGATGCTAAACATTCTGTACTCCTAATTAGAAACCCACACAAAGGTTATTCCAGACAATGTAACAGTAGGACTCCCACTGAGAAAAACTGGTAGTGTCAAAAAGGGACTATGCCCTCCTGAGGCTGGTGTAGTGGGAACAGTAATCAACAACAAAAGGACAATTAAAAAAATACACAAAAGATCAATTATTGGAAAGGGGGTGAGGATTTTTGGTCCAACTACTTTAACCTACTAAGAGATTCTCTTTCTGGTATCAATCCTGGGGGTTCCTATATTCTTTAAATACAAACTCATTACTATCACCATTATTAAAGGAAAGCAGTATTTCCCCCTGACCATAAATCATACTGTATTGCACCTAGCACTCATCACGCCAGCTATTCAGGAGATGGTCCTGGGCACACCCGCTGCGTTCTGGCTGCTTGAAGGACAAGTGGGCAGGGAGAGAAGCTTTTGGATGAAAGGATAAAGCTGTTGTTGTCTGGTCACCTGAATTCCAAACTCTGCATTCTCTCACCCAGTCTGTAATTCTACTCCCCAGGTCATCCCTTTAAGAGGCCCTGGTGACTTTGTTACTTTAACTCCTCTGCCTGCCTTCCAAAGGTATATCTGTCACATTTCCCCTCACCCTTGGCAACCTCATTTACAACTGCTCCCACTTTACTGCGGTGCATCTGGCCATACAGTGCACTTCATTATTCACTGCTTATTCTAATTCAGTTTTTGCTCAAGTGTGTAATTTTCCTTTAAACAAGCTCTTTAATCTCTGGCCCTGTATTTGTTTTATCTGTAGAATGGAGCTAATAATTCACTGTCTTTGAGGGCAGAGGCCCTGGAAGAGATGTTTTCTTGAGGCCCTATTTGTTAAGATCTGTTTAAAATTTTTATTTTCATGAGAGAGATTCTGATCTGGAATGCCCATCCTTGCTCTGCCTACCCAACTCCTCTCTGGCCCCACTTCTCTCTGCGCAGAGCTCTGCCTCTTCAACCTTCACACTTTTCTTCCTCTTTCAAAGGATTCTGTACTGTTCAGTGCATCCTAAATTTACAGCTATCTACTCTTTCTTTGTCTGCTGGGCAGGCTTTTTTCTTCAACTAGGTATGTTCACTGAATGCAAGACACATGTCATATTTCCCACCCTAAACTTTTCCTTTAAAAAAAAAGCACCTTTAAAAGCATAACACTTGCAAATAGAAGATGTTAGAGAAGGAGAAGTAAAACAATTAAGAGAATGAATAAGAATCTCTACAAAATGGGTTAAAGACCTGTTTGGTTTTATAATCGGAAAATATAAAGGATAACACAGGAATATGATAAAAATTCATCAAAGTAATGGGATGGATATGGACTTGTTTAATGTGTTTCTGCCGATCAGAATGAGGGATATATCTATGACATTTGAAAGAAATGGGGATAAACAGAAAGAAACACCAGAAGTAACAGAAATAATCACATGTGTGTTTGTGTGTAAGAGAGAAACACATACATACACACACTATGGATTATCCCATGAACATCAATGAGTCCATTGTACTGTAATGGACTACTCCACTTAAGTACCACTGGGCATGATGGGGTAAGGCTAATGCCCATCATTAAACAGTCTAGAACTACATGCTATTTTTAATGTTATCCCTGATTTGTGTAGTTTGGTCACCTCATGAACTCACGATTTTAAATGCAAATTAACTGGTTCAATCCCTGCTTTGAAAGCAGTGGGCATCTAGGGAAGGAGAACTGACTTCTGGCAAGGGTGACTAACACAGGGGGATGGAGCTCCCTGACCCAGCATGCTGGGTGACTCTCAGGTGGCTGGCTCCCATGGCCAGCTCACCCTGGGCCACTCTTGTCCCTAAATTATCTATTACCCACATCCAGCTCCACTGTACCACTTTATCTAGTTCTATTTTAACCTACCCAAAATAGCGTTTTGAAAAAAAGAAAAGGCTTCTTATAAATAAAACAGAGTTTTGTTATATTTTTAATTTCTCAGTCCAAATAAAACATAATATAAAAACTTCTACAATATATAAGACCACAAAAGTTTTTACCTTAAAAAAAAAGTTTTTACCTTGAGTGTTTCTGTAATCTCCAGAGTCTTCTAAAAGATTTTTCAAATAATCTAGAAATGGAAAAAAATGATAGTATTTAGTGCAATAAAGCAGTAAGGGGAAAAACACTTGTCTTTTTTCCTAATTACGTCAGCCATTCTTGTTGGTTAAGACACATGCTCGTCCAATTTGTGCTAACTTTCTAAAGTGTGAAAGAATAAAGCCCTAAGAACAATTTGAAATCAGGACACAGAATGAGAGCAGAAAAGAGCCTCAGAGGTCACACCAGTCATTTCAGAGAGGAGGAACCAGGTTGCTGTGTACAGGGTCTCACCCAAGTCACACAACATCTTTATGCAGAGCCAGGACTGGAATCCAGGCCTCCTGATGCCCAGTTCAGATATTTCACACATGAAATACCTTAACCTCAAGATCAGATGTACGTCTAATACAAAATTCCACGCGTTAATAGATTGAATGCCTAAGGGACTCTTAGGTTTGTCCATCTAAGTCTAACAACGTCAGAACACCAGAAGAATGCAATACACTAGACCAGGGGCTCTCAAATGGGGGTGAATTTGGCTCCTAGGGGTCATTTGGAAATGTCTGGAGATATTTCTGATTGTTACAACTGGGGGAAGAGGGGTTACTGGCACCTATTGATGAGAGGCCCGGGGTGCTGCTAAACATCCTACAAATGCACAGGGCAGCCCCACAACAAAAAATTATCTGACCCAAAAAGTCAACACGGCTGCAGTTGAGAAAACTGATCTAGAGGAAAATGGTCTGTAAATGAGCAACACAGTTTATGGTGGTTCTTATAATACGGAAAGAAATTAAGGCAATAGGTTGTAGTTAATAAATCTTTAACAAAAAGGAATGTAACAGGATTTTGAGGTAATACTCTCTTGTCTGTTGATAAATGTTGGATGGCTTCTCCTTATCTATCAAATTAAAATAAATTCCATTCCTTGGAATTTAAAGTCCCCCACTACATGGTCCCTATTGACTTTCTGATTTTCTCTCTTGCTACTGCCCAACACAGGCCCTTTATTCTTACCAAAGTTTGATTCTGCACAATTCCTTAAACGCTGCCCATGTGTTCTCTGGCTCCATACTTTTTGTCTCTAATGTTCCCTTTTTCTGAATCCTCCCTCTGTCTCTGCATATAAAAATTCTCCTCATATTCTTCAAGGCTCATTTCAAATTCCTCTTCTCCTACTAAACTTTCCACTTAAAGGAAATATTCTCTCCCTTTGAATAATACATTACATGACAGTTACTCATTGTATGCCTTTAATCGTTTTTGTTTTCATTTGACTCAAAGCTCCATGTGGGCAGAACCCACATCTGATTCATCTTTCTATCTCTCATAGCACTTACCCAGGACTTTTGCACAAGGGACAATAAATGCTTAGAATTTTTTTAAATGATTTTTTTCTCGGACAGAACTGTCTTAGTTTAGGTAAACAACAATAAAGGCTGAAACGAATCCTAATGACAGTGGGAGTTGAGAAGATGAAAGGAGGAAAGGCATGTTAAGAAACTGAATGCATTTTTATCAGAATCAACCTCCATGAACTATATCATGGACTATATCATATTTCATCCCAGGGTTTTATGAAATCATGCTGAAAGGCACAAAGGGAAACTTGGGTGCTAGTGCCAAGTTTCCAAACGTACTACATGACATAAACACACACACCCAAGTGTTGCAACTCTGTGCATCTTTAGATAGTGATCCAAGAACCTGTGTGAGTCTAGACATGCAGCACTGGCAGGAAGCCATGTGAGACACTGTGGATGACGACATTCCGTTTCCATGCACCGTGGTGTAGGTTCTATCCTGCCAGAGACCGTCACTAGCAATTTAGATCTTAAAAGTAATCTGAACACAGAGGTTGGAAAGTATGCTTCCAATCAAATAAGAAAACCACAAAAATTAACAAAATACGCTGATTATACATTACACTTAGCTTTTCCTGGAAATGAAAATTAACTTCATCTCACTCTGACTCCACTCAGAATGAATTCCCTATTTAAGCCATGTTTGGTAAGTCTAAATAGTCTACTTCTCCATGAGAATGATAGGGTTGGGGAAAAACATTTAGTCGTCTTCTTAGATGTTCTCAACATCCCAGCTACCTCATTCATCAAAAGCAACAGTCCTTAAAGCCTGGAGGTCGCTGAAGAGTATGGAAAGGACAGCAGATTTACCTAAGTATCTGATTCAAGACAAGTTCCTATTGTGTCTTCAATGCTTGTTCTTTTATATAGAACTGAGACATTTCTCTAAACCAGTGGTCAGCAAACTCATTAGTCAACAGAGCCAAATATCAACAGTACTTCTTCAAAATAGACTCGCCCAGGCCGAAAATCGACTTCTGCGCATGGGCCACGAAGTTTCAATTGCACTGTACACGCGCCCGCACGTGGTATTTTGTGGAAGAGCCACACTCAAGGGGCCAAAGAGCCGCATGTGGCTCGCAAGCCACCGTTTGCTGACCACGGCAAGAGAGCCGGCTGGAAGATGTATTAGGAAATCCTGACCTCAGAATCACTGTGCTGAGCCTGATACGCTCCTGAGCTGCATTTTCTCTCCTTGTACTCAAACTCAGCTGCCGTCCGCCAACCTGAACTTCAGGAACAGAGTGGAAACACAAATCGGCTGAAGAGAAAACCCACCACTAAGATGTTACAAAATCATGCTTTTAATCAAGGATGTAATGGGGTTAGGCTTACTCTCTTTGCCAATTTTTTAAAAAGCATCTTAAAATTCAATGTTCCAAGATTAAACTTTAAAAATTCAACTTTCCAACGTATCCATCCATCCATCTGTATTTTCAGGGCATCTTGTGGCCGTGCATCCTTGTGAGAACTTTCACCTTTTCAAGGAAGACGAGACCATGATCGCCCTCAGTGAAGAATCACTCGGTGCCTCAGCTGCAGAATTAGAACATGATTGATTGCCCTGAGTCAGACGGAAGGAGCACGGAAACCACCAGCTGCCCCAGTGACTGTTACAATCCAGGTGAAACCCAGGAAAGGAGGCCAGACAGACACACCTGTATTGGTCATAGGAAATTGTTTACTGAATACCATTTAGGACCTTGTACAGGAGTTTCCTTTTTAAAAAATGGGGAGAGCAGAGAAATCTATTCTATTTGCCATATTAGACGTGTATCAGTCTATGACACTTCCCTGCTTCTGCCAAACCAAACTAAGCATTTTTCAAAACTTCGCTAATAAAAATGCCTCAAATGCTACTGAGGTTAATTCTTTCAAAGAAAAAAAGGTTGGTGCAGCATGCATGGACACCACAAAATGTACTTTCTGGCCACCAGATGGCATTGTTGGTTAATAAAAGTTAAATAACCCCCATTATCGCCATGGGCAACCTCAAGGAACATGCAACTTTAATTTTGTTCTCATTTCTGAGGACCCAACAAATACTGTATCTTGTTCCAGGTCTAAGTTTTCTAATATAAGTGCTCTTAGTAAGCCCTACCACCCCTGATTACACAGCCAATGAATAATTAACTTATAGCAGAAAGCTACTGAGTACAGTTAACCTTTCCTAAACATGAGTCATCTGTGGGAATCTGGGACTTTTTACTTCCTGGACTGTGTGCTGTGAAATGGGAATGGCAGAGCACAGAGGAAATGAGCATACAGGACGGGTAACATTCCAAAGTCAGTTATTTTGAATTTGAGGACATGTCTTGCTTTGTATTATCCAGATTTCTTCTTTCCTCCCTAAATAATGTAATGATATCAGCAACACATACAGAATTATGGGAGCCAAAGGTCCATTAAGTCTGGTCAATAAGCCTGTCTGCCAAAATCTCAAATTTTCAAAGAAGCAATAAAAAATTATCCTGACTTATGAAATAAAGTATCGATTATTTTAAATACCCCAAATAAGGATCAGTTGTCTAGCTGTAAGACATACCGCCATATTCAAAGCAGCGTGGTGAAGAGGTCAAGAGCCCTTGCTGGGAGCGAGAAGGCAGCTTCTTGTTCTCTTAATAGTCCAGCCATGCTTAGCAGAGGCATGGGGCTTTGGCCAAGTTCTGCTCTGTAACATTTCTGTGTCAGTATCCTCATACACAAAATAAGGCTAGACCCGAGCAAAAAAATGTAATGATTCTCATTCTAAACAATCATGAAGCATATTAAAAAAAAATAATAATTCTAAGATGCATTGCGCTGACCTGTGTGGCTCAGTTAGTTGGCATCATCATCCTATGCACCAAAAGGTCCTTTAATTACCGGTCAGGGCACATGCCCAGGTTGCAGGTTCGATCCCTGGTTGGGGCCCATATGGGAGGTAACCAATTGATGTTTCTCTCACACTGATGCTTCTCTCTCCCATTCTGTCCTCTCTCTCTAAAAATCAATAAAAAAGATTAAATATTTTAAAAATTTGGTTTTTTAAACAAACAAATAAATAAAAATAAAAGGTGCTCTGGTCCCCTGCTCTAATTCTCTTACTCCTTGAATATTAGTTCGGTCCTAGACCTTAATTTGTGGCCCAGGGCTTCCTCTTATACATATATGATGCTTATATAAAGTTAGAAAGTGACTTTTCTGGGCTCTTAGGCTCACAGATTCATCGTTTGGAAAGCAGGTGATGCCTTTCTGTGAAAGAGAAAAGGCCACTTTTCCTGGGCTGATGCCACCCCTCACCCGGGCACCCAATATGGTGAACAGAGTGCAGTCTGGACTTGGACCTCAGCTGGGAGGGCAGCATAACCATCTGGTCGATCCTAGACTTTGATAAGCCTGGCCCTGAGGTGGCATGCCCAGAGGACTCCAGAACCACACCCAACTCCAGAACCACACCCAATTCCAGGCTCATCCTATGGGAAAATTCTGGAGTTCTTACATGGTACAGAATTTCTCCTCGGTCCCTTTTTAGCAGGACAGACTGGCTAGGCATATCCAGAATGCCCTTGGAGGAGTCAAAGCCATAGAAAATCTCCCAACAAAAGTAAATGTCCATTATTTTGACTTGATTGAAACAAATGCTTTCTTTCTGGACACATTTTCCAATGGTTAAGGCTGCCAA